TGGGCGGGGCCTGCGCCCCTGCTCCCAGGCGGAAAACGACCTGCCGGTGGTCGGTGGTCGTGGTCCGTGGTCGAACGCGGAGCCCTGGTGGCCCAGCGGCTAAGAGCTTGGCCGCTACTGTGTCACTCCATTTCTCCGAGAGTCTTCCTCTTTTTCAAGTAAAATACTATGCAACATTTATTCCAAAAAAGAAAAAAAGCTTGGCTGCTAATCAAAGGGTGGGTAATCCACCAGCCACTCCTTGGAAACCCTATGGGGCAGTTACACTCTGTCCTGTAGCGTCGCTGTGTGTCGGAATCGACTCGATACAACGGATTTGTTTTTTCTGGTTCGGTTGAATCCGGCCCTCGGGGGCTCAGTAGTTTAATATAAAAGTGGGAAGATTTCTCGTAAAAGAAAATTTGCCCAGATTTTCTTAAGCAGCAGCTCACACGGGCCTGGGCCTTCTTCCTGTGCTGTCGCTTACCCGACTTTGACTCCCTTACCCTGAACGGTGGGCGAGAGCGGAGGACCGCCGTCCAGCCCTGCCTCCGCTCCCGCCCCAAGCCAGCGGCCCAGGGCTCGCCCGAATGTGCCACCACCTCACGCCCGTTCACCGGACCTGGGGGCGCACCCTTCCCTCCCGTGTTGTTCCTGAGTGCCTGTCTCCCTCCTGTGGGTCATCGGCTCCTGTGGGGCAGGGGCCGTCCTGGGGCCTCTGCCGGGCGTGGGACTTCACCCAGGGACGGTGACTTCACACCCTCCCCCCCAGGTTCTGCAGGTGCTGCCCCCCCAGGGCGAGTCGCTGATCCAGCTGGCATACCAGCTGGGCACGCGGGCCTTCAACCGCCACGTGGTGCAGAGGAAGCAGCGGGAGCACCAGGTGCCGGCGCTGCAGCGGCGCTACTCGGAGTACCTGCGCCTGCTGGCCTGCGACACCCAGGTGGGGGGCCGGGAGCTGGGGACCTGTGCCGGAGCCCTGGGAGCCCAACACCGAGCCGGGTGGCCTTGCCGGTGGGGACACCGCGGCCTTGAGTGGAGGTCGCCTCCCCACTCCGCGCCCAGCCATGGGTGCATGAATTAGGGAGGGCCCTGGTGCTGGGTTTGCCCCTAGCGCGACTACTTCCCACTTGGCACGACCCAGGCAGGAGCCTCAGCTTCTTCGTTTATAAAAGAGAGCTGGTAGACGCTGGGGTGGGCGCGGGGCTCCAGCGTCACCGCCCCCAGACCCCCGGCCTCCCTGATTGGCTTTCCGGTCCCCACAGGTGGACCCGCCCCGCCTGCCGCGCCAGCACTGGGAGTCACTGGGGGGTCCTGGCGGCGAGCCCCCACCCGAGCAGCCGTGGCCGCTGCCAGTACTGGTGCGGCTGGGCAAGCAGCTGGCGGAGGTGCTGGTGCGAGCCGTGCGCATGCCGCGCAGCCCTGGCGCGCCCGCCGGCGCCGAGCAGCTCATACCGGTGCTGTACCACGTGTACTCCTTCCGCAGCTTCCGCCAGGTGGGGTGAGAGACCAGGCGGGTGGGGGGTGGGGGTGGGGAATAGAGTGTACCCGCCCCCCCAGCTGCGCTAGGATAGTTGCCCCGAAAACATCAGCCACGGCCCACGCAGTTGCCCCTTAAGCCCTGTTCAAGGGCAGCGATGCTGGTTTCCATTTTCCAGCGGCCCTAGCCAAGTTTAAGAAGTCACCCGTCGACCAGGCAGGGCGCCCCCTCCCCATGCCGCTGCTGCCTCCCAACCCTCCCCAGTGCCCTTGCACCACCCCCTGCTGTGCCATGAAGCCTGCCCCTGACACCCTGCATGGCCACTCCCTGATCGATGCCCTCTTCGCAGATCGGCATTCTGAAGCCACACCCGGCCTTCTCGCAGCTGCTGGCGACGGCGGCGGAGCCCACACTAACCTTCGAGGCAGCCGAGGTACCCATGCTGTGTCCGCCGCTGCCCTGGACCTCACCACACTCGGGGGCCTTCCTGCTGAGCCCCGCCAAGCTGATGCGAGCTGTGGAGGGCACCATACAGCACCAGGAGCGGCTTGAGCACTGCCCGCCCGCCGCGCTGCATGGTGCCTTGGACGCCCTTACCCAGCTGGGCAACTGTGCCTGGCGCGTCAATGGGCGCGTGCTGGACCTGGTGTTAGAGCTCTTCCACGCACGTGGCTGCACCCGCCTGGGGGTGCCGCCCCCGGCCTCCGAGGCCCCGCGCCCGCCCTCCCGCCGCCCTGCGCCCGGCACCCCGCCCGCACGCCTGGCTGAGCTGCGGAGGGAGGCAGCGCGCTGCCTGAAGGCGGCCCGTGAGCTGCGCAGCCTGCGAGCGGATGCGCTCTACCGCCTCTCGCTGGCCCAGCACCTACGGCACCACGGTGCCTTCTGGCTGCCCCACAACATGGACTTTCGAGGCCGCACTTACCCCTGCCCACCACACCTCAGCCACCTGGGCAGCGACTTGGCCCGAGCCCTGCTTGAGTTTGCCCAGGGCCGCCCCCTTGGCCCCCGTGGCCTCGACTGGCTCAAGCTCCACGTGGTCAACCTCACCGGGCTCAAGAAGCGCGAGTCCCTGCAGGCGCGCCTGGCTTTCGCAGACCAGGTGCTGGACGAGGTCTTGGATTCCGCCGACCGGCCCATGACGGTGGGTGAGGGGGCTGGACGGCGGGGAGGGGAGGGGAGGGGAGGGGCTGGGGAGTCGCCTTTCTTCTCTCTGTTATTCTTCCTGTGTCTTTGTCTCTCTGTCTCTTCGTGGTTCTGTGTTTCTGTCTGTTTCTGTGTTTTCATTTTTTTAAATCTGTTTTTCTGTCTCCATCTCTCCTGGCCTGCCCCGCACTCTGGTGCCAGCCACCTTCCCAGCGTTCCCCTTCGGGCCCCCTCCAGCCCCTGAGACGCTACCAGCGCCCAGCCCCTCTCCATATCCTCCCACTTACAGTCACCCCACCCATCAGCACCTCGCTCACTCACACTCCAGAGCAGCCTCCTTCCAGATTCTTCTCTCTTTCCCTGTCACACATACAGCTGTTCTGGTCTCTCTCCAGATGTATGCCTCCTGCTGTGCGGTGGGGGGTTCCCTCCCTCCCTTCTCCCCCCTTCTCCCCCCTCCCCGCATGCTTGGGGACCCCCAGGGTGGGCTGGGGCCTCCTAGGACCTCACTCTGCTGCCCCCATCCGCAGGGCCGCAAGTGGTGGATGGCGGCGGACGAGCCCTGGCAGACCCTGGCCTGCTGCATGGAGATCGCGCGGGCTGTGCGGTCCCCCGACCCCACCACCTTTGTCTCCCACTTCCCTGTCCACCAGGTGAGCTGTGGCTGTGGCTGTGGCTTGGGTCCACTTCAGGGCATTTTGGTTCTGGTGGTATGGGGTGTCAGGTCTCCACAGGGCTGCAGACGGGTAGGGGATGGGGAAGGGTGCCCTGGGTGGTTAGACTGAGACTCCACCCACCCTGAGGCCCGGCATGGTGGGGGGCTCAGTGTTCACCCGCCCCACCCCACGCAGGACGGCTCCTGTAACGGCCTGCAGCACTACGCTGCCCTGGGCCGGGACAGCGCGGGCGCCGCCTCCGTCAACCTGACGCCCTCGGACCTGCCTCAGGATGTGTACAGTGGGGTGGCCGCGCAGGTGGGTGCTGGGGTCCAGGCCCTGCAGGCCCCTCAGAGGGCATGGGGTCCCAGTGTGAAGGGGGGGTCAGGGTGGGCTCCCGGGGGTACCATGGAAGACATGGGGGCACAGCCAAGGGGCCCTGGGAAGGGAGGGGTGGGATGGGTGCCCGACCCCCCACCTACCTGCCCCTTCCCCTACACGCAGGTGGAGGTGTTCCGCAGGCAGGACGCCGAGCAGGGCGTGCGCGTGGCCCAGGTGCTCGAGGGCTTTGTGAGTCGAAAGGTGGTGAAGCAGACAGTGATGACCGTGGTGTATGGGGTGACCCGCTACGGCGGCCGCCTGCAGATAGAGAAGCGCCTCCACGAGCTGCAGGACTTCCCCCAGGTGGGCACGGCGCCCCGGGTCACAGTGGGGCCCACAGCCACCCTGGGTGGGCACAGTGCCCTGGGTCATGGTGGGGACAACAGTCGCCCCGGGTGGGCAGGGCGCCCCGGGTCACAGTGGGGCCCACAGCCGTCCCGGGTGGACACGGTGCCCCGGGTCGCAGTGGGGCCCACAGCCGCCCCCAACATGGAACAGTCTCCTTGGCCACCCTGTTGGACCCCAGGTCTCAGCTTCCCTGTCTGAGGGAGTGGGTGGGATGCCTGGCTCCCTCTCATTGGGTGGGTGGGTGTGGAAAGACAGCCCCCTACCCTTGCCCACTGGTGTCCCCTCCCTAGGAGTTCGTGTGGGAGGCCTCCCACTACCTCGTGCGGCAGGTTTTCAACAGCCTCCAGGAGATGTTCTCTGCCACCCGGGCCATCCAGGTGGGCCACGCCCCAGGCTTCCCTACCACCCGTGCCCCCACTCTCCCTGCATGGGACTCAGGAGAGTTCATGTAGGGGATGCCCCCCGGGCCCGTGGATGGGGCGGCTGGCCTGAGTTCTCCCCCACCCCTGTGTCTCCACAGCACTGGCTGACAGAGAGTGCCCGCCTCATCTCCCACATGGGTTCAGCTGTGGAGTGGGTCACGCCCCTGGGCATCCCAGTCATCCAGCCCTACCACCGCACCGCCAAGTTCCAGGTGTGCGGAGCCCCCTCCCCCACCCCACCCCCCACACTCCC